GGTGATCTGAAGCTATATCAGCTCCTCTCTTGGTTCTCACATCCCCCATGGTCCTTCTGAACTTTTTGTTGATACAGATATGGTCAATTTGGTTTTGAGTAGTGTGGTCCGGTGAAATCTATGTGGCTTTGTGAATGCGTTTGTGCGTGAATATTGTCCCACCGATGACCAGTTTGTTGAAGGCACATAGGTTTGCAAATCTCCCACCGTTTTCGTTCCTTTCTCCCAGTCCATGTCGTCCCATGATGTCTTCATATCCAGTGTTGTCCATTCCAACCTTGACATTCAGGCCTCCCATAAGAATCGTCAAATCCTTTGGTGAACATTTATCGACTATTGACTGCAGCCTTTCGTAGAATTGATCTTTACCGTCGTCATTGTAGTCATTGGTAGGTGCATAACATTGGATGACGTTCATTGTAATGTCCTCTCTCTTTGTTTTGAAGGATGCTTTAATGATCCTGGGTCCATGAAATTCCCATCCTATCAGTGCCTTTTGTGCTTGTTTGGACAACATCAGTGCAACTCGTTGTGTATGTGAAGCGTTTTTCGCTTCATGACCAGAGTATAACAGCAGTTCCCCTGAAGCTAGTCTCAGTTGTCCTACCTGTGTCCAATGTGTTTCACTGAAGCCGAGCACCTCGAGGTTGTATCTTTTCATTTCTGTCGCAACTTGAAATAGTCTTCCAGTCTCCCACAATGTGCGAACGTTCCATGTACCTAAAAAAATGGTTGCTCCGGTTGTCAGAAGAGGCATTGGCCCCGTGACTTCCGAGGGAACTCGGCTTTCATCACGAGACGTCATAATTCTTCTTCCAACTCCCAGGGCAGAGTTAAAATGGTTTGAATTATTTTTTCTGGTTAGCGTATTTTTGGCAAGTGAGATTTCAACGGAATGGGGTCGCCAATCCCATGTCCAATCCTCCTCCTTTATCCGGGCTTGGAACCGGCAGTAGCCCCTAAGGGTCCAAAGGGCAGAGTTCAGCATTAGTTGAAGATGTTTTATTTTTCTTCAAAGAGAACGTCTGCTTTATTAGAGGTTGTCGAAACGTCGAGTGGACCTGCTGACCACAATTACCTCTCAGCATTATTCGTAACTCCAGTTATTTAAAACCGTCAGGCGGAAATCGTATTGTTCAATGTGTGTTATGTGCATGCTGCCAAACCCATGCATTAGGCCTCCTCGCATTGCCTTCGAAATCGTGATTTTAACTGAAGTAACCAACAAATCATTCTCCGACTTGAGGAGAAACGTCTTGTTCGCCCTCTTTGCGTGAGCGTTGCAGGGGTGTTAGTTTATCAGCGAACGACGTTCTATTATTGAATAAACATGTTAGTAGCCAACCTGCTGTTTCATAGTGACAGAGGATATGACATCAACTTGACTCACTTGCTTCCAGAAACCATCAAATTTTTAGTTCACGCTTACAATCCGAGGACAGTAGGCAATTCAACAATATCAAATTTTATTCTAGCAGATTACTGATACTCAAATCTTCTTAACATTTCGGCTTTACTGTTAAATCTCAAGGTGATGCAGAGAAAGAACTAATGCTTTTCAATTTGAACATGTTTTGTGACACTTCGAAGCAGCAAATATGTCATGAAACCAGTCTGAAAATTTATTTGTAAAGACAGACAACTTCTATAACAAAGTTTTTACGTTCGCACTTGTGATTGACAATGTGAATTCCAATAAATAGTAGATGTCTCCATAGCAGTAGGACGTCTAATGAGTTGTAAACGCTCCTGGTATCGGAGGTTATTGATTCAGCTGACGAATTTATTGATATTCAACATATCACTTTCCTATGTTTATACTCATTATCTACAAACTTCGTGCCAATCATTAAACCTTGTACCATGGAAATGCATACTAAAACGGTGAAAGCATTTTTGTGACATCCATTTAAATTTACTGATGACAAGCTTTTGTCATTCTGCCGAAATTCAGGTTTATAGGCTCCAACCTCCGACTTAACTATGCATAGGAACAAAGGATTTATTTATATGATGATAATCATCTAATGTCTTTTTGAATTATTTTCCGTAGTTCACTAAATAAATAATCTCAATGTAAATTCTCAAATAGAAATGTCTTTGGAGTAACTGGTGTGTCAAAGCTCAGTGAAAGACCAATAGTACAAAAATTCCTGCAACACTTTTCATATAAAAAGGTTATAATCTTTGCATCTTATTCATAAATCATGATTGCTGAACGCAATCATCAGTTATCAGCTGTAGATCAACAATATATGTCATCAACGCGGATGGTCACTGTATGTATAGAAACGTCTAATGCTATTGGTTTATAAATTTTTGTTATCTTGAACGTTTTCGAAGTTCAATAAACAGTCCAGCATTGAATGAACTAATCGCCAGACCGTTCGTCTACGTATCAGGCATGTTTCATTTGATCCTACAAATCTCTGTTCTGAGGCTTATCTAACATTTCAGCATATCTCACAAAAAGTGCTCTAGAATAATAATATGATTATGACTTTCATCAAACTGGAAGATTTCTTGATAATGTTATGTTGTGTTTACCAAGTGAATGAAACTATCGATATGTACCTCACCACAAAACACGAGGATGAAATTGGGCGAACAGCAACGCGAGCTGTTTTTTCCTCCTTGCAACCATCATCGAAAGCATTCACTCGAATAGCTTCCAAATCGTCCTCCGCTTCAAGGTTCCACAGTAATTTTGTATAACAAATACAGTACATAATTATTTCGGAATTTCCGTTTATTTTCCTGTACATCAAGCAACCATTCTACAAGAACTACATGCCTCAGTAGAGTCAATGTGGACAGAAACAGTTATTATCAGAACCAGGATGTAAACTTAGTAATCAGGCATTTTACGCATCCAGACGAACATTATATTTTCAAACGGAAGATGAAGCTGCAGTTCCTCTGATTGAAACTGATGTACATTAGGCGTCAGAATCGCGAAATTCCAGTTGCCTTTCAGCGGCTCATTCCAATACTAGAGTTGAAGTACCTGAGAATCCCAATTTTGGCCAACCAAAATATGAGACGTTCAATGTCTACATGACGATGAAAAACTAATCATCTAATATTCTTATCAATACATTTGTGAATGATGCTGTGAAGCCCCAAATCCACGTGTTCTTTCACCGATACACATCAAGTAGACGTAAATTATCTCCTAAATCTGTCATAACGACCTAGTTATCAATATTCATTTTGAACGTGAAGCTAATGAACCAGTCTTTATTTTGTCAGAGAAACGTAGCAAATATTAGTTATCCTTGTCGTATCGAATTAAATCGTTAAAATAATCTTCGAAATAAATAGTTCTCAATGTGATCGACATTGATGTTAACTTCAATAAATACATGGAACACATCAATTTGAAGTCACTTTGTCATATATCAAATTTAGATAGCTGGCAGACACATCTTGAAGAGAATTTCATTGTGTCAACCAGTAAGCTTAGTGCACTTCCTACTCAACATACAAACCAACATTGAATTACAAATTTAATCCCGTGTACTAGCTTCTGACAAGCAGTAAAACATCAAAAGTAAGAAACAAACAAACTTGAATACTTATTACTGAAAGGCATGAAACATGTTTGAAGAAGTCATGATAGCGAATGAGAATCAAATCAAATTTGGGAATGTAATCATAAACTTGATCAAGATGGAGAATGAAAGAGTTTACCAAAATATTATTTCATTACTAGTTAAGTTGTTTTCTGAAATTCTATTATCTAGTCAGCGGTATCTCATTGCATATGTGTACAATTTTCATTAGTTTACTATGAACAAACTTGAAGATATGAAAAATATCATAAAAAAATTTCAATGAAACAATCAATATACATACCAAGATATAATGTTCTATATGTAAAGCCTTAAGATGTGGTTAGATCATGAATCATTTACAGTGTTTCGGTTGATTCTCATGTATGATCAAACGATTTCAACTCATTACACAAGGTTTTGGTGTTTTCGTTCTTCCGCGTCATCTTTCGATTTCCAAAATGGGAAAGTGTCAGCCGATAAACACATTTACTAATATGAAGTAAATAATCTCTACACATACGTGACTTACGAAAATCTTAGGTAGAAAAATTGTTTTCGTATTCGTTTAGACACTTATTAGGAAAAAATGAATGCCTGCAAACCTGTTTGTTTTAAAAATTTCTCTTCAAGTTTGTATGCATACAAGTTGTGTCATCAGCTTATTCATTTAGAGCATAAAATTACTCTGAGTATTTAGTTTACTGACATGTTATTTTTAAATGTGTTATATACTACTAAATTAGCTTTACAATATGAAACACAATATGTAACTAAAAAAATACAATAGTAACTTATCTTACCGGCAATCATGCCGCATTGCTTATTACTCTGGGATCAAACAAAATGCTAACTGAACTGCTGTTGCTTTGAGTACAGCTCAGCTTAAGCTTTTGTGAAAAAATTATTGTAGTCTTTAAGACTGATCACTGAAAAAGGCCCTCTTAAATCTACGATGCTACTTCCCTTAAAGAATAGCGTCAATGACGAATTTCAGTTTATGAGCACTGCAATAGACACTTATTGACTTGTCTGATAGTACGAAGCTACAAATATAAATTGTGAAATTAATATTTGCTCCAACAGATTTCAATGTTACTGCCCTGTATTTTCTGCATAATGGATAACAGTACTGAGTCAAACTACAGAACATCTTGTCAGTAACTGATGTCTGACGAAATTCCTTGGTGCAGCATAGACGTCAGTTCATTTGTGGGTAATGATTCTTGTTTTCATATCTGATTACAACACATGTAAAAATTGATCTACCGGAATAATAATAAGAAATTTTTTTCACTACTATTATTCCTGTCAAAATTGCCAAGACGAGAATATCACGTATTGATGAATGTACTCGTTCGTGTTACCGTTATCCCTTATAATAGTAGTTAGTTAAGTTAGTTGATGATTTTCCCCTACCATCCTAATATTAAGAAAACAAATGTGTTCATTTGGGATAGGAATATATTACAAGGACAGTGAACTATTTTAATTCTATATTTTTTAGTACAAGGTTCTCTCACGCCCATCGTATTTCGTAATTCCACTTTGTATAGGACTAACATAGGTAATCATTTTACATAATCTGATTAAATGCAATCATTCATTCGATGTTCTTTTAACATCAATTGTTTTATTTGGACATTTTGTAGAAAAAAGAAACAAGCAAGAATCACTTGCATGAATAGATTCATTTAAACAAAATCAGTTGAGACTGGTGAATTATCCTGATTATTTTGTTCTTGATCCAAATATGGATGTTGTAGATTCATCATATTCATTGAGTACTGAGAATGATTCATCAATGAATTATTTGTTGTTTGTTCACAGTCACATGATTTTGTGGAATAGATTCGTTTATCCATCAAGTCAATCAGATTCACTGGTGTGATCGATTGACCTTGTGAGTATAAATTAAATTTGTCATTGGATTGATTGATTTGTTCATTCATGATTGGTTGGTTTGTTGTTATTCTAGATGAATTGTAATCTGGAATATTCTGTGCATTATATAAATGTAATATAGATGAGTTGGAGTTCACTGGTTGATGAAATGTTTGTAAATGAGTGGAATTTTTATTAGTGATATATTTTGATGAATCAGTATTATTGAGTGGTTGATTATCTGAAGAATCATGATTCATATCATGTATTATTGGTTTTTGAACGGATGAAATTGTGCTTAGCTTACTTGATGCAATTGGAATCCAAGATGCTAAATCAATAAACAGAAATTAAATAATGAAGCCATGGGATTATGAAGTAGGTATCATAAATCAGCACAAAACTTCATGGGAGAATCTATCACAATAGATGTCTATTCCGAATAGCTGATGCGAAACGTTCAGTGAAATATTATGAAATCCACTTAATTTTGTTTCATCTCTGGTGTACTTGTCGGAATATTCATACAATATCCTCGCAGTATAATTGGTCAATTCCTACGGGTAATTCCTAACGGTCAATTTTGTGGTGGTCCTAGATATATAGATGGCACGTACTTCAACTTTGTTACTTATTGGTCTCCCTGATTATCAATGTCACTTCAAATGTTTTTTCCCATTGGTCGCTTTAACTATCAATGTCAGATACTTCTATTCTGTTTACTACTCAACATAAATGTTTAAATATGCATTGCCTGTAACGTTCTAGGACCCGGATCCCTAGTGCGGAATCCTGATTCTCTTCTAGATTCAGAACTCGCGCTATCTGCATGCTTGTAGAATACAGGTTCTACTTTATATAAAGTCTCCCTCTGTTATTCAATGAAGGTTGGGGAACTGGGATTGAAAAAGCATATCGTGTCGCCAGATTCTCAATCCTCGCCCTCGTTTTCCGACCTAGCTAAACTCGTAACAGTTCAAGCATATCAAAATGATATCTTCACGTTCATGCGCAACAGTAACACTATGTTTTGAACTTTTATGTCAGGTTGATCGCAGTATCGGAACGATTGTTCATTTGTACATGGAAATAGTAATAGCATGTTAAATCTAATGTCAGTAACACTGAAACCCTAAAAACAGCTAAATTCTTCCTTAACACTCATTTCATAGACGTTTATCACATTTCTATATTTCAAAAATAAACGTTTCGGAATCAAATACAAATACTGGAATAGTTTGAAAAATTACAGTTTTAGAAAATAATATTGAATTTGTTTACAAACAGAATATTCACTCTTTTCAAAAACTAAGAGCGAAATTCAATACTTACCTTTATGTTGTTGTTCCTTTGTTATGTTATGATCCATAATATTTGATGAAAGCGGAGACAGTGGCTTGAATTAACCAAAGCAAATAATAGAACATATTCAAAAATATAATATACGATATCATTTCACACAATTTAGTAACACAATAATATTTTCTAGACTAATTTTGAGTCTATAATCTTATTTTTATCAACGTTATTCAGTGTCCCTACATCACTGAAGAAACGGTTCGATAAATTTGAAATGTTTAACCTGTTAAATTGGGAAGTACATATTCAATCCGGCCATCTATTATTCTGAAACTAAAAAAAATTTAATGTAGGCAGTGCATATAATCTATTCTAGTTATTTTGCCAGTACTTTTTATTATGTTGCGAAATGTTTGTTTTAAAATCAAGTTTCAATATTTGTACTTGTGTGAACGATTGTTTAAAATAATCCATTTGAGAGTGCTTCATCATTTTTTAACTGAACGATGTATAAGTCAGGTTCAACCTACACAAGTGACATCGATTGAACATTCGTTTTTTATTCAGAGTGTGAGTAAACTCTGCAGTAAGAAACGTGATCCGGCCTGAAATATTGATTACATGTGTCCATAAAGTATTGCTCACTTATGATGGTAGAAATGAAAGAGTAATGGAAAACATGTATAATTCCTAGTATTCAGTACCTGAACTCTTATAGAAATAGAAAAATGTTAAGTCTACACATTCAATGAATCGTCAATAATTAACATAATGACGACCACTTATATACATTACTAGTCGATTCCGATTCTCTATAACAAAAATGTCAAACGATTTGTGTCGATTGGTTCTACAGTCACAGAACAATCCAGTCAACGCCGTTATTCAGACAAACATTCAAATTTACAACCACATTTCCTAATTATAATGTCTCTTTCACTAAATCATTTCTCATTCTTTGTCTTCAGTTAGTTATTTAGCATGACCGGAAAAGAAAGAATATATATTATTGTGTATACTTCACACTGAAATGAAAAATTGTTGTTATGCCTTTGTGTTCAATCTATTTTCTGTTTGTAGAAATAATTAAAACGAAAGAAATAATTGTGATTGACATTTTACAATTATCCGGAAATAATGTGATAGGAATTCAATTTTCAATCATCATGAGATATATTTTGTTTAAAAATATAAGTAAGAAAGTGACTTGATTAACTTCATTATTTAAATGTACTTCATTTATGAGCTTTGTTATTTTCGATTTGGGAAATGATGATTGTCAAGAAATGACCATTGTCAGCTGTGATAGGATTGAGTTCAGTGAATAATTAAGGCTTTCAAATCACCTTATCTACATTGTGCAAAGTTCTCAGCCGTTAAACTTAACCATATGTGACTATGTGACTAAAAATGGTTACTTAGGTTAGTGAATAATATTTATAAACAGAGAAACACCGCGTTACATAACTGAATCTGCACATATTTATGCGATCGAGTTAAAAACTGGAACAAATCTGTTGACTTATTGTGAACGGAAAAGGAGAATACCGATGATTTGTTATGGATATCGTCTTAGGAGTTGACAATATTTTGACGAAAATTGATTTCGACCATATTTTAACAAAACTTTTCTTAGTTAAAGAAGGTACTTGCTCATTCTACTTGTACACGTACTAAGAGCAGATAGATTACATGTCCACTTCTAAGTAAATTTACCCACATAACAATAACAACTCAACCATTCATTGATAAACTTACTTGATCGATTTCTGGTATTACAATATATTCCCAACTACGAGCAGTTTTTAAATGATTCATTTCATTTAAACTTTTCGCATGTTTTTTGTTCAATGTACAATCAACTAAATTATTGTCAACGTGATTATTAACTAAGTTAAACGAATCATCAAATTGCAATTTATGAGATTTTTTCATTTTCAATGATTGTGTAAAAGAAATAGCATTAGTTTTATTATTAGTGATTATATTACTATTCACCATATCAGTAGTATCTGTAGAATTTATATTATTATCAGCTGCTGCATTAGTATTAGTTGTTGAGGTATGGACCGATAAAATGGGAGTCACTGTTAAGTTATCATTGTTAACTTTACTTGGATTCGATTGACCATCAAACTTATGTTCTTCTGAATGCTTCCTTTCATGACTTTGTTTTGAATATTCGTTAGAATTTATAAAAGAAATAATTTTCTGTTCATATTGATTATATTGCGGTAATGTACACCCACTCAATGTCCAACCCTTTTCGCAGTTTTGTTTGAACTCATCATTAGACAATAATGATATTGGCATTGATACATAGCTTGAATGATTAGCTTCTAATGGTAATGTTGTATAATTTGTATGACAATTTGAAGATGATCGTTCACTAAGTGGTAGAAATGTTGTATAACCTTCGTGATTTGTTTGATAATCCTGTTGGTCTTGTTGTGGTCGTCGATGTTTGAATTGATTCTGTCCAATTATTATTGATTTTAAATGTACAGAATCTGTTTGATCAACATAAGGATTATTTTCATTGTTCAATATTGTGGATTCGTTTGAATTAAGATGATAGCGTAAAACACTTTCGCTGTCCTTATCGATTAGTATTGATTTATTAGGATACAATGTCATAGTCGGTGTAGGTAGAACATGTGGATTATACGATTCATTATCACAATTACTATTAATATGAACTGTATTTGACTCGGAATTCAATATATTTTTCCAGTTAACTTTTTCATTAGTCAACTTGATACTGTTCAATGAATTATGATTGCGTGTTAAATATTGAATTCGACCATTTATATGAGTATTGTTATTGTTATTGTTTTGACGAAAGTTTTGAAATCCACGACGACCACAAACATATACTGTAATGCCTAAGAGTACAAGAATTATAGCACAACTTAAAGCAACAATTGCAATGAGAATAGAACCAGCACTGAAATTATTTTCATCTTGATTATTAAATTCATTTGCTTTCAATAATTTTTCATTATCATCTATAAAGTGATAATGTTGAGTTTGTTTTAAACGACGTTGTAAACTAAGCGATTTCATGTTATCATTCAATAAATTTGTCGAATGCAAATTTGAATACTGATTAGAATAAATACGTGGTGGTGAATCAGTTACCTGGTGAATGGAACAAAAACACTATAAATTATAATCTTTCTATAAATTTTAAATTATAAAAGTATGTATATTCACGTGAATGTTAAAAACGTTCAAACAGACACATACATCCACATATGAACACACTTTTTACACCTAGTTAATTAATCAACCGGAAAGTAGAACTTGGTACGTTCATAAGTATATCAGTTCAAGTTCCATACTACATTTGCAAAGAGATGTACTTGTCAAATCAAGACCCATAGTAGTAGAGGTGGTAAAAGTATTGGTAATACTCGAAGATATTATTTAAGATGTAGAGCTTTCCACCTACCGACACGACTCAGCCATGTTTTGGTCTGGCCCCCTCTATCATTTTTCCAAGCTATTCCTACATCTTAATAAATAGTTCGACGATGAAGTCGGTGCTTACAAATACGTAGCACATATCCCAACCAACTTAACTGACGAAGTTTCAATACTTCAATCTATTGACCTGGCACCCGTTTCCTAACAACAGCATTGCTTACTCGGTTGTCCCATGATACACGAGCAATGCTTTGGAGACCACTATGATCAAAAACCAGTACACTACGAATATACTCTACTCTAAATGACCATGTTTCACTGCTAAAAGGTAGGATTGAAAATGCTTGCGTTGTCGTAAAAATAGTCAGGAGACACCGCATTTTGTCAGCGTCTTCACCAATTAAAAATATCTCATATTTTAGGTCATTGAGAAGACCTCCTGGTACAACATCAACCCTCTGAGAAATCTGATGCGGATAATGTTAGCTCGAAAAGGATGTTTACGACAAAATTAAACAAGAATGGATAGAGTGATCAGCCCTGACAGACACTACTTGAAGTAACTAGTTACGATAACAGTTTGTCATAAGCTTTCAATTGACCAGTGATGTTCCGATAGACACCTTGTATGAGGGTGATGTACTTTTTTGGTACACATTTTATTAACAGGGACTGCCACATAACCTCACAAAACACAACGTCGGATGCAACCTTTATGTCCAGCAAGACAGCTAATGTGGGTGAATTGCGGAACTAACCATAGTGTGAAAATGTGGTCTATACAGCCACGTCCAAGTCTGAAACTAGCCCGATTTTCTCTAGTCTCATCTTCACGAGCTATAGTTAGTCGTCTAAAGAAAATCGAGGCTAAAAATTCAGAAAATATATTAGTTAGACTAATTTCTCTTTGAATGTCACAAGAAGACATTTGTTCTTTCTTATAAATTGGGACAATCAGAGATTGAGACCAGTCTGATGAGATTACGTCCAGTTACTTTAGTAATTTTTATTTCGTCTAATCGTATCCGGTTCTTATGTTTCTTTTAAGAGTAAAAATAAAACGCACTTGGGAACAGAGGATTAGATGCAGCATAATTTGGTTAGTTAGATAGATAGATAGATAGATAGATAGATAGATAGATAGAGAACATTATTGATACACAAAAATAAATGTACATCATGGTACATTGTAGCAAAGAGAAAAAGACAACTGCAAATTAGAACACAACCGGAAATCTCAGTGTTTGTCTGTTTTGCTTCATTTTAAAATTTGTACGCGCAAAAAAACGCAAAAAGGAAACTAGTAAGAAGTAAATTTCCTTAAAAATTATTTTTCAATTTGAGCGATCTGTTGATATACTATCTACAAAGTTACTGCTTAAATACGCTTTTATATAAGTCAAAATTCGAATGACTGAAATGAAACTAGTTCTATAAAATCGAAAAGATAGATTCAGATACTACTGACAATAGAATAGCAAAAAAGCATAGAAAACATATGACCAATGCATGATGTATACAAAGTACCATTGAAAACCCTCTTTGAAATGGCAATGTTTCATTGAATAATATTCAACATCCCTTATTGATAGTAGACTAAATTGCTAAGAGCTTTGTGAATAAACACTAGAATATTTTCGTGAGAGTTATGAAGAGTGTTGCTTTCATTCGATTAATTAATAGATATATTACAGATCACTGATCGATGCCTGTAAACACTCGATGGCTAAGTTTCCATCCGGGTATCGGACTCATAATCTGCGTGCACCAACGTTCATTACCCGCGATAATGGGACGCTAGAACTTTTGTTTCGCACATGAACGACTATTCCAAGCTACCTCAACAAGTTATTACTAAAAATCATCATGTGCTCACCAGTGGTGAAAAGCTACGTGAAATCTTTGAATTCCTACTGAGAGGTTGTGGCCGATGGAGTTCAACCCTTTCAGGCTTGAAGCGATGCTCACCGCATGATGTCATGGATTGGTGAGAGCTATGCATTACAAACTTAAGGTTTATTTACCAGACAATTTTATGTTTTGTATAATACTATTTCACCAATATTAGGACATCGCACAATCAATGATATACTGATTTTTACTATAGTTCATGCTTGAGGTAATTAACTTCTGTAATGAAGCATATTTACATACACCGGTGTACGAGTCAGGTTTTTGAATATCATATGAATAAATATCAAACTAACAAACGGAAATCCATAAAATGATTGAGATTTGCTTTCTATGATTATATTGTATGTCAGTCGCAGGAATCACGGATGCACGTTGATGATGAATCTCAAAGAAGTAGGAAACGGCATTCCCAAGGCTAGCATGTTTCTGATCATGGTCTTACACTGATTGCTCCACGGAGTTTGAATTTCTTCATTTAGAATAGTTGTGAAGCCTAGTAATGAATGCAGAAGTTCTTTGGCATTCACGAGACAGATGACCCGTTCTGACAACTAATGCAATCATAATTGAAAAATACATAGAATGCCTAAACAATGTGAGAGACCGAAAGAACAACTGAAAACAAGAAGAAAAATCATTATATATTACTAATGGCGTTTTCGGAAATATTGGTAAAAGAATCAAATTTACTTTAACTAATAATTTCACTTCTGTAGTTCGTGATGGTATACCAGCATCTTGTATATGTATTACTAACGGATATAAACCAATATCTTGTTCAGTTAATTCACGATCGATTAATAATTCAGCTGATGTACTGCCAAGACGAAATATTGAAGCTTGATTCCCAGAAAATAAATTATAGTGTAACAAAGAATTATGTCCTTCATCAGGATCACGAGCTTCGATTCGTGCCACAACCTGTGGGAGATTACAATCAGCAAGTGAATGATATCATTATTTGATACAAAAATATGGTAGGTAAATGAAATGTGTTGTTCAATATAAGATTTGATGGCCGTTGAAACATTATTCTGTCTACCGAATTTAAAAATTTAAATGTAAATCCTAATGGTTCTCAACCATGATCCGACTTATAACGTGTTGAAGATGATAGGTTTTCTCTACTATAAGACATACAAGTACAATGTATACAAAATGAACACGCTAATTTTATCCTCATGTTAAGCAATCCATTACAGTTATGCATCTTTGATAGGAACGAGTTACCACAAGTTGTAGTTTGAGAATCGCCTACCTTAAACTATTTGAACGTTGGAGAATATTTCACGGAACAAAAGAAACAACAAACTGTTATTTTTAATAATTAGTAAAGGAATTTCCCATCAATGATTTATTTCATTACTTTCTTTATCAATCAGTAATTTTTTAGCTAACTAGTTGTAGTTGGTCATTCAATCTGGTATTAAACTATGGATAACAAAACATCGAATCCACATACAACTATTCCTATATAGCTTATTGCTACTTATGTAAACAAATGCTCAATAAACAAGTCACATGGTAGGTTTTTATATATTATAACCAATGACCCTCGTTGACACTGACACACTGGAAGTAAACTCAGAAACAGTAGTATCGCGAGTGATGCCGACTCGCATACAGTACTGAAGATTCTGATTTCGATTATGAAACATGTAGGCCCGATGCAAATAGCTCTCACATTCTAGAAACATCTTAGAAGAACTAAAGATGAAACCCAGACAAATCAGTTGAGGTATCAAGCTAATGATCATTTCCAAAAGAAGCAGAGAATAGATTATTGAATTAAATGGTATACTGAGGAATTGAGAAGTGGTACACTTTGTAGTTTGTGTAAAATTTTGCAGGTATATGTTCTTTTCAGTTTATTTATTTATCACGAAATAAAATTATTATGAAAATTGATATTACTAACGAGATTTGACTTGGTTATATTAAACAGAATGCGACTTCATGTACAAAGATTTAGAAAAAACATCATAATTAAATTTTGACTGAACCCTAACTGTGATAAGGATGATCTTGGGCCCGAATAAAATAATAGCTATTGACTTGTAGTGAAACATTTATACGCTGAAAATACGGTCAGTACGATAAAAAATTCAAAGCGTCGAAATCCTGCATTGGAAGTTAGAACGTCTTCACTCAGAAAGGTTATGACGTCTCAAGATGATTGCGGAGGTCCTGAAGGTGACGAGGCCGATGTCCTTTCCAACAGACAGAGCAACCATTCTTTTAGGTACACGCATTGTTCAAACAAAGAAGGAGATGGAAAGACTATTCCGATTTGCTGTAGAGATGGAAAGACTCAACAAAGAGCTACTTGAAATCATTAAAGCATCCTTCTAAACAGAGGAGGAGGGCGATTAAAGGAGCACCAGTCGATGCCATGCACCCATCAAAGACTAAAATGACGATTTGGTAGATCAAACTTATCAATCAGCGAGAGATCCTCATCGAATGATTTGACTATTCTAATAGGACACATTGTGATGAGTGCCTAGTTTCGACGGCGGGCTCACCATTTAGTGGAGGCCAATTTTAACGTGTTCTTAAGCTTCGTAATTAGCTCGTTCAGATAATCGTTACCCAGTAGCGAATGACGGTTTATAAATCAGAAGGTGAACTCTAAGTGTTGGATACGTTTATTTTGGCACACCAAAATTAGATCAGCAGACTACAAGCACTCTAAGATAAAATCGTCATGCGGGCGACGGAAAGCAAGCAAGCATGTGAATTGGCGAATGAATGGATGAAATGAAGTGGAGAAGGCTAGTAAGCCAACTACTCAAGACAAAGCATGACTGAGAATTTATAGTCACAGGAAAGTAAGACAGAAATGTCGCAAGCGAGATAGGCACGAATGTGCGCGTAGGCGTAAGCGAAGTTCAGGCTTACCAGCTCAAACAAACCGGAAAATGATAAAAACCAATGGTACACGTACGTTGTTGCTATACAAATGTCTTGGTTAAATAAATTATTCGAAATGCGTGACCAAATTAGGTGTAAGCTAACTCAAATATATGTGAAAGCACTACAACCTAAACGGCAAGGTTAAGATACACAATATCGTCTTTGACGACATCATGGGACGACATGGACTTGAAGATATGAACGAAGATGTTGAGTAATTTTCAGACCTAGTCATCAACGACACAATATTCACACTCAAACGGACACGCAAATCAAGCATAACTGATAGAACGAAATTGCCCAAATCTGCATCTATTAAATGTGAGACTTGTGGTGCGCAAGCAACGCTGAAAGAGTTCCAGATATCCACGTGCTAGGCACATGGATTAAAATGAAATCATAGAAGGATTCTAAGACTGAAAAACATCATTAAATAAACCTTTATCTTGATAGTGGAAAACTCAATCAATTCAAAATATTACTCATTGATATTCTCCGGGTCTTTCACCATCTACTCAAAGTAGACAAGCTTACGATGGATAAAATTAGAAAAAGCTTTCATGAAGCAAAAAATTAAGCCTTTTATGCAGTTTCGATCACGAGATGCACTATCATAGGGAATGAGACTCAGTTGATACTCCGAATAAAATTCAAGAAACGAGGAACAAGAAGGCAGCAATCAACATCAGCGGAACATGAGCAGCGAAAGTCAAAGCACATGTTAACTTCATGGCAGTGAACTAGCAAATTAAGATGAGCACCATAGCGTACGAATGGAAATATTTTATAGATCTAAAAATGACAGGTGACAAGTCTGTAAGAGAAGGAAATATGAGAGCGAAAGGCGAGGAAATAAAAGTTATCAGTCACATCGAAGATCAGCGAAACAGGTGTCTAGAGCATTATAAGGAACTCTTGAATCGATCCGCTTCACTGAATCCACTGAATCGATGCAGCACACGTGGATTTCTTTGTAGTGCCTCCACATATATTTCAGTTCGCTTGCATCTAACTTGGTCAAGCTCTTTCGATATATTTATTTAAACAAGGCATTTGTATAGCAACAACTCATATGTGCCATTGGTATTTTTTATTATCTGCTTTGTATGAGCTTGTGCGACTGAGCATTGCCCACGCCTACGCGCTAACTCATCCTTTTCGCTTTAATGTTAATCTCTTAATATCCCCATGAACTGACATGATTTGTGTCGCTTGCTTTTGACCTTGTCAATCATTCGTCGCTTTTATTCATGTGTGTGCATACCTATTGTAGGATTTAATTTGTCCTACAGATGTAATTCTAAAACGCAAACGCAAATACTGCCGATGACAGAGTCCCAAGTGAAACTATAGTTAACAGAAGACAATTCGGTATTAAACTTTATCTGTTTCTAAACAAAAAGAAAACGATTAATTTAGTACAATAAATAAGGAAATTACAATTATCAAGCAGGATGAGCAAACGTACCGGACAGTATAGCGTGTCTTTAGAAAATGAATAAAAAACATGAGTCACATCTATATAAAATAAAATAATAACATCCTTCAATCGATAGGCCGTTCACAACAAGAAAGTCCATAGACCGGTCAGACTAGATGACGTGGTGAGCGCTTAACCAATCTGATTGGTTAGTTATGACATAACTACAATTAGTTATAAAATAACTAACACTCCCCCCGAAGCGGTCACCACGTCCAGACCTCGTTGCCGTCGCGCTCGAATAATCGACCTCTTCCATTAGGCATAGGTTTCGTATATCTCGGTTGATGTCTACGGTGTCTCTTCAATCGAATCGTTCTGAATCGGCCATCGGGACCATAATTGACTTCTCTAACTATAGCTTCCACCCAAAGATTTCTCAGCAAACTAGTATTGTTTACTAACGGTGAGTCTCCATGTTGTGGCTTCCTTCTCGTTGACTTTATAATATGTTTCCATATACCTCCTCCGGGATCAAAGATTAATGCTATAAACGACAAAATATTCCTTCTGGTCAGGTTTCCAGGAAACACGTGAACTCTGACAAATGATTCATCCGCTCGGATATTCCGCTCTACTCCCAGCGTTCGTTTACACATCTCGTTGGGTCCGCATAGGGTAATGGTTCCCTTTATTTTATCACTTTTCTGGCAAAATGAATTCGATGATACCGGTGAGGATGCTACTGTAGCTTCCGCTGCATAATTTTCGGTTCTTATAGAATTATGTTTTAAATTAAGACCACGTCTGTTCTGATGGTTTGACCTGATGGTGAATGTTTGACTCAAAACAGATACAGAACTGTCGAATCTATATGGACATGTGTCGTTCTCTTCGATAGCTTTTCTTTTCAATTCACGACGTCTTCGACAGGCTTCGTGAAACTGGAAAACACTCTTATCACAAACCATCCCATCCTGTTCGATGATTTCATCAAATAATTTTGGAAGAAGAGTCTTCTTGTCTTCTAAGACAGAGAAACCACTTGTACTTACATGAGTAGGACGTGACCGATAGCGATGTGTTTCAGGATCCGAAGTGCGGTCTATTGACTTGCTTTCTGACACATTTGTCCTTATTCTTTTAGCTTGAGATGTTCCTGATGCAGAATCATTGCTACTACTACATGAATACTGCAGATCAAATTTACTAGGGATTTTATTTGTGGATAGTGTACCTTGCTCTTTACAGAATTTTAAGACATAATCGATTTCGTACTGAGTTGCTTTGCGTAACTTGCTGACGGGTGTCCATTCTACAACGCGATCCCAAATATAACGTATGCGATACTCTGCTCTTGTACCATGTCGCTGACGATGGGCTAGAACCTCAGCAAGACATTGGAAGTCGTTGCGCCATGTAGCCATTACATAACTACCCACCTCATTAATTGCAACCATTCTCAAAGTTCGTGAGTCAACTAGAGCAGCAGGCATTTGTAACCAACTGAGAGTATTAATCAACAGTCTGCATTTATACACTAAACGTACTGCTGTCCGTGACCTGCAGAGAGATTCTTTATTCTTTTCAGCACCGTTGTTGTGTACATCATTTAACTCGAAATGAAAAGGTCCAAGATTATTACACCTCTGTTTATTAGCATCGGAATTATGAGCTCGGCAATGCTGTCGAATAACTGGCATTTCTCTTTCACCTGCAACTAGGTCGACTTCCGCTAAAGTTAACGTTTCTTCCCGTTTATCTTCAACTACTTCCTTAGCAGAATCTTCTAGATTTTTCGAATCCTTACAGTCTGTCTGAGAAGCTGTAACAACTTTAGCCGATGCAGTAAAAGGACACGAAGCAGAATCATGACTTGTAGATGATGATGTCCATAAATTAACCGAAGCATCTTTCGACACATCAGCATTCACAACGCTTGATGAAATATTTGAACCGAGAACACAATCAGATGGAATGTCTTTCTTAGCTATAGCAAAACTTGATAGAACGGCAGGTGACTTAGCTAATTCATTTGATGCTTTGAGTGATGCAACGGAAGCCTCTGTGTGAGAAACATAATGATTAGAAGGAGAACTAGAAAAATCCTGATCTGTCGATTTAGTCTGAGGAAGGTTTATTCCATTCAGGTTTATCGCAATTTCATCACGTTCATTTAACCTTTGCACTGTGCTTGATATAGCGTTGAATGCTCTACGATCTTCCATAGACATAAACGGGTCTTTCGATTCAGTTGAGTACAACTGCTCAAACTTATCTTCCAGTTCCTCCTTAGCCGGGAGGTGATTAAGTGCACGGTTGTTATCAATGAATTCCCCGTAAGGACCGAACAGCGTCCAACCCAATAAGGTCTTCACAGCAGACGGCTCATCTGTCTTTCCAGTTCTCACCTCCTTCGTCTCGTGTACTCTCGGTACATTACACCCGATCAACAGTTTAACATCCTCATCTTCTACTCTCGGGAAACTTACGTCCTTTAAATAGGACCAGGATGCCATTTGACGCGCCGTTGGTACAGTTCTGTGAACTTCCGGTAGTTTTCTGACTGTCAATACCTTCTGGATCTTAACAGATGATGAGAAGTCTATAGCGTGCAACTCTACATCTACCTCTTTAGATACCAATGACGATTCGTTATTTATAGTCTTTAAAGACACAGTTCTCGGCTTTCCCTCGAGGCCTAAATTATCAGCTAGATCTTCTACTATTAGAGAGGTGTCTGACCCACTATCTAGAAAGGCGCACGTCTGCATAATTCTCTCACCGTTTTTTATCCACACAGGAACTACTGCAAATGCCACAGGCCTCTGTATGCCCTTAACATCTTCCTCTGTACAAATCTGAGAATTAATGCAGGCATCACTAATAATATCTCTTCGTTCTTCCTGCTTCTCATGTAACAGAGTATGATGTCTCCAGCCACATCCCTCAACAATACACGACCTTGGCGATCGACAATTCTTTGCTATATGGTTTGGTTTCAGACAATTATTACATAATTTATGCTTAAAGACGAACTCTTTCCTTTCTTTAACATTCTTGTTTTTAAACTTCTGGCACTGATCCAAGAGGTGATTGCTTGAGCAATCTGGACAAGGTGAATTATATAAGGAAGTATTGCTGTCATTAATGCTTACATGTGCTACCGTCGCTATGTTGTAACTTGCGGCAGCTTTCCCCTTTAAAGCACCAAAACCTCTTTTGTCAACATTATCGCTGCGGTTGACAAGCAGGCCGTATCTAGTGTTAGCTATATCCGACTGTTCTTTAACAAATTCACAGAGGTCATTGAATGAAGGCTCTCTACCCGTCTTGAGAATTCGACATGCTACTTTAACCCATTCTCTCTGTAGGTGTGGTGGAAGTTTTAAAAACATGCTTTCGATGGTTTTCGTAGAATTAAGATCGGACAGGTAGTTCATTTGTGTGAGCGTAAGCTCACAGACATACATCTCACGAGCTAGCCTTCTTAAACTATTTGAGTCGGTTTCTTTAATAGCAGGGAAGTTTAACATCTTGTCGATGAATGCACGGGCAACTACGTGTTTCTGACCGAATGCTTCCTCAAGAAGCTCTAACGCTTTACGATAACCTTCTTCCGGTTGAAGCAATGTACAATGAACAATGGTAGCTTTAGCTTCACCATCACAATATTGAATCAAGTAGTTTAACTTAGATCGAGGTCCGACGCTTTCATCAAAACAATCCTCGAAATTTCGTATGAAACTCCAGTAGTTCATAGGATTACCATCGAACCTTATGATTTCTCGCTTGGGTAGGTCTAAAGCTCTGGATATCATTCCTACCCAGCCCTTTCCTGCGCTATCAGCTGTACGCGAACCGGATGTAGATTCGAACGACATAAACTTTTCATCCTGAATTTGGTCACAATATTCTTTTCCTCTTTGCCGTAATCGTTCTAACTCAATTTCCTTTTCTAGATGAGCTAAACGTACTTTAGCTAATTCTAATTCCAACGAAGGATCCATTCGGAGGCTATTTTTTCCAAACTGGTCTTCACTATGAGTTTCTGAATAGTGTGGAGACAATTCAGGAATCTGATCACTCTTATGATCCTCCGTAGACATTTGAAGATATTCAGTATATGAACTTCTGATGAATTACTGTCCGAAACTATGTAGGATTTAATTTGTCCTACAGATGTAATTCTAAAACGTAAACGCAAATACCGCCGATGACAGAGTCCCAAGTGAAACTATAGTTAACAGAAGACAATTCGGTTTTAAACTTTATCTGTTTCTAAACAAAAAGAAAACGATTAATTTAGTACAATAAATAAGGAAATTACAATTATCAAGCAGGATGAGCAAACGTACCGGACAGTATAGCGTGTCTTTAGAAAATGAATAAAAAACATGAGTCACATCTATATAAAATAAAATAATAACATCCTTCAATCGATAGGCCGTTCACAACAAGAAAGTCCATAGACCGGTCAGACTAGATGACGTGGTGAGCGCTTAACCAATCTGATTGGTTAGTTATGACATAACTACAATTAGTTATAAAATAACTAACACCCATTTCGCTTGTCTATGTCTGTCATATTTTTACCTGACTATATACTCCTAGTCATGCTCTATTTATTCGAGTTGGCTCTTAGCCTTCTCCGATTCGCTTCGCTTTGTGGGGTGTCCCGAATAAACGTATTCATCAATACGAGTTCTTATTCTGATTTATAAACCAAGCTTAAGAACACGCAGATGCATCGGCACACTACATCTGAATCAATTTTAGCCCGACTACAACTGAAGAGATCTCTATGATGTGTGGCATAGCAACAACATTTCGATGGAACACACCACTCTACATCAACTTTATTCGCCACGGGAAAGAACTTGGAAGCGTAGATAGGAACAAACTATGGAACCATCATCGACTCCACGGCCTACCTGAGAAATCAACCAACATCATAAAGAATTCTCATGATGGGTTAAACTGTCAGACAAGGAGGATGTCTGACAGACTGGATTGAGGAGAAGACCGACAAGGTTGCTTGATCTCGCCTTTTTCTTTCCCATGATGCTTGAATCGATTATGCGGACGGTATCATCTGGAAGGGAACACGGTATACAGTGAATAGCCATGGTGCAACTAAACTTTCTGGATGTCGCAGATGATTTGGCACTTTTATCGCACACGCAACAACAGATGCAAGAGAAGACGACCTGTGTCGCAGCACACACAGCAGCAGTTCTGAACAAATACAAAGGCGAAAGCAGGTTTTTCCGATAGAACACATCATCCGCCTACAATATTACTTCAGATACAGATGCCTTGGAGGACGTCAAAGCCTTAACCTATCCGGGCATCACCTCCGACAAGCAAGTTAGATCTGATACACACATGCAGGAGCACATGAGCAAATCAAGGACAGCATTTCTACAAATAAACATCTGGTACTTAACACAACTATCAACAAACATGATAGTCCAAATTTCCAATGAAAATGTCAAGACAGTTCTACTATAAATGGTAAAAACATGTGAAAATGCGACAATCATCATTCGGAAAATACAAGTACTTATTAACAGTTTTGATGAGTAAAATACTTCTAATTCGTTGTCAGACGCCATCAGTAACAACCTAGTTTGGAAAAGAACAAATACGTTTCCATTGAAAGAAGAATACATAACGAAGCCCTGGATGTGTATTTGGTACACACTGCGGAAAGCAGCTAACTGAATCACAAGACAGGCCCTCATTTGAAACCGTCAACAAACACATAACACTGAGAAATGGAGACAGATATGAGAAGAATGAAAAACGTTTGACAGAACCGGAAATAGAAGTCTACAAATGGGTAGGTGGGATAATATAGATCGAACGCATTACTCTCTTCTGGGGATTACTAGCGTGAGCAATAAAGTTAGCATCCTTATTAGTAGAAAAATTAATCTTTTTCTGACTCTCCGTGACTCGTTATATTGATATTGGAAGAATCTCGATACGTTCAACAATCGAGCGTTTACGAATAAAGTTGGTTGTATTGTGTTATGCTTTATTTCTGAATTATCATGTGGCTTTTGGCAAATAATTTAACCGAAGTTTAAGACTATGATGCATCAGTTATAAACACAGATCCGATCAGTGTACTTTTATTCATCTCCAGTTACGATGATGCATATGAATTTCCCCTGTGTACTTGTGCATGCCGAAAATTCGAAGATAGAAAAATTTAAAATGCAGTTGGTTCATTGACCTGTTAAATCGGTAGACTGGAAACGTACCAGGTGTAGTGCGCTGAAATACCAAAGACAACATCAGACGGCTGAGGTTTAACTTAGGTTGGACATCATTATACATGATTGTCCTCTCAATGGCCAAGAGTTTAGAATTTCTTTGACTTGCATATACGGATTCATGAAGCTACACTGATGATTAGTCTTTCACAAAAAACAAAATTGTCGTTCACTGCTTCCTGGTTTCTACTTATCATCTGTGACTATCAGTTTCACGATTTTAAGGAAACTTAACAAATCCCACAATCCTAGAATGACATAAACATTTTTTCTTGTCACTTTTCACTATCCAAACTTGAGATAATTTTATTTATTACATATATTGTCTGAAGAAGTGAATGACATTTATTCCAAAGTTTCAGAAACTGTTTTAACTTTTGATAATTCTGATGTGTTGGTTTTTATTATTACATCATATATTTAGTAGTTGTGGTAACTATTATTACACCTAATGGAGCGAACGTCAAAGTTCAGCATTCTTCAACCCACTTCGCCTTCAGCTTGAGTTACCAGTTCTTCCCAAACGCTTTTCACTTTTTAATGTCTGTATTCAGTGTTTATTGATCTGTCACTTATCCTCTGATCATGAGGATTACAAATGATGGCTTATCTTCAGAGGACGACGGACTTCGTGGTTCTCTGGTTTGCAACTCCACACAAAGGACCGACTTCGATTTCGACATTGAATATTCTAACTTTAAAGTTGATTATATCGTATACATGAATAAAATACTTCTTTAACTCATAAAATAATTAAAATTCACCTTTTACTTACTTCACCTGGTGGTTCATGATATGACACGCTTATATTACCTTTACCATTTATTGGAAATACAATTATTGGATCATGATCATTAGTATCAGTGACATGTATATAAACTTTAGCTGATGATGAAAGTGAGGGTTTACCATGATCAATAATCAATATTGTCAATTCATAATTAGATTGTTTTTCTCTATCTAATGATTGTAAAGTTGTCAATTCACCAGTTGAACTATTTAATTTAAAATAAGATGTTGAACTAAATAAACGAAAATGAAATTCAGCATTTTCATCGTTATCATTATCAGTACCGAGGAGAATACCTATGCAATTAAAAAAAAAAGTGGAAAATTGAATGAATTTAAGTTTTTGCCATTTTGTATTGTTTTAGTCACGTAAAAATAATAGTTTAGTTGGGATTCTTAAGGACAAGAGAAACTAGAAAGATCATAAAACAGACCATCAAGCGATTATGGAGACCCACGTAAAGGAGATGAACAACGATAAATTAGAACTGGAAAGAGATGGTCAGATGAGAGTTGGAGGATTGTGGTCAGTGAATTATTATCCATTAGTAGTTAAACGCATAGGTTCAAAAGTAATTTCGTTGTGATCGTGCTTCATTTCAGGTAAACTAGAAAATCAATTCGTCTTAGATCTTTGATCAGAAATAATATGCGAGATATAAAAGTTAGGATTTATAGACAGAGCTAAATACCCATCAATGAAAGCAACCGAGACGATGGCTTTTGTAGTTCGCATTTTTCCACCTCAGATAGCATAATATTGAATATTCTACCATTCTTTACTGTCAAGAGGTGTTTTGAGTTCGGAATGTCCATACGTTATAAAAATGCTGTCTTTCTATTGGCTATACGCGTGCTCAAATTTGCATCTTGCTCATTATTCATGCTGTACAGAAATAGAAAGGTTTTCGCACATTCCGAAGACTGTCCGTCAACTGCGATTTGTTTGGAGTATGTGGAGACTTTTTGAGGCAGAGGCTGCTGCAACAGTGGTTGTCTACTCCGAAAATAAGAGCTGCATGGGGCATAGATCAGCTAGATCATCAGTCGACTGTTGCACAAGGATCCGTTATCCCGCAGTCTAGCCGGTTCACGATCAATCCCATCTAAATCCAGTCTGTTGAATCCGAAGTAAGGCATCTACAAAGTCTTTTTTTCTGTTACGCAACACCCTTGTTGAAGACTTTATCTGGTATTAAGAGACAAGTGATGCCTCTGTCGATCTAACACTAGCTGATATCGCCTTTCTTTGGCACACTGATGGTGTATACTTCTTTGGTACTTGTTCTTCATAACGAATCTTGTTGAAAAGAATGTGGAGTATTTACGCAGTTTTCTGATCCGGTTGCTTCACCACTACTGACTTGTCTGAGGGCCATACTCATTGCATCAATTGCTGGTAGGTCGATATCGTTTGAAAGGTTCGTGGATGCTGCTTCAATGTTGATATATTTGCGTTCGCTCATCTTTAATTGCTTGTTTGCTTCTGTGTATTAAGATTGCGTCTTGATTTTCTCTGCTCTTGTTCGAGTGATGTTGATTGCTGCCTTCTTGTTTCTACTTTCTTGAATTTTATCCAGAGTATCAACTAAGACTCATTGTCTGCGAGTGTGAGTCTCGTGATCGAAATCGCATAACAAGCCTAATTTTTCTTCGTGAATGTCTTTTAGAGTGGTAAACATGGTAACCTGTTTCCCATTGAGTAGACTGTGAAAGACCTGGAGACTATTACTGGGGCATATCTTGAATTCATTGAGTTTTCCAGTATCCCGAAGAAATGCTGTTTTGAAGTTTGATGATGTTTTCCACCTAGCTGTTGAGTATTTCTCGAGTTTCAGTTACAATTTGATGACCAGCAAGTAAGGATCTCAGAGTGTATTAGGTCCTCTTTGCTCCTCAGCTCTTACATGATCCTTCTAAATATTTTATTCATACAGATAAGTATGATTCGGTTCTCAGTAGAGTGATCCGATGAAATCCATTTTCCTTTGCTTGTCATTTCCCTAATCCCATGTCATCCCATCATGTTTTATCCCAACATTGAAATTTGGGACTCCTTTTAGAATGGTCAGATCATTCGATGAGGATCTCTCAGTGATTGACTGCAGCCTCTGATAAATCTGATCTACCACATCGTCATTGCAGTCGTTGGTGAATGCATGGCATCGGATATCGTTCCTTTAATTGTCCTCCTCCCCTGTTTCGAAGGATGCTTTGATGATTCCTGGCTAGTTAAATTCCCATCCTATCTGTGTCTTTCATGCTTATTTGGAAAGCGTCAGTGCAACTCCTCGTCTGTGAGGCTGTATCCTGTTCATGGCTCTACTGAATCTCTACTGACCAGCGTCCAATGAGTTTAACTGATTTCAAGTAGCTCTTTGTCGTGTCTTTCCATCTCTACAGCAAAACGAAATAGTCTTTCCATCTCCTATTTTGTTTGAACATTCCGTGTACCTAAAAGAATGGTTGCTCGTTGAGTTAGAAGAAACATTGGCCTCGTCAACTTCATGACCTCAACAATCATCTTGAGACGTCATTGCTTTTCTGACTGAAGACCTTCTAACGTCCATTGAAGAATTTAGACGCTTTGAACTTTCTAGGGAGTTACGTTTCTTCATGATGAGGTAGTTATTGCGATAAACAGCTGTCCTCCTTTATCCAGATTCACCCGACAGATCGAAGTGTTTGAGCGATATTAAGATACATTTTGTTAATATGCTACTAATACGGAAGAAAACCAATTCACTTTCGAATGACGACATTGTAGAGTAAGTAATTCATAGATTTTACAGTATTATTAAAATAAATTGATACAATTTTATTAGTAAATGCATAGCAAATTATCTTATCGAATTTTCGATGCAAAATTGTGTGAAGAAGTATTAAAAACCGAATCCAATTAAGAATTGGATTTTCAAAACCGACATTCACGACTTCATTTATTTTCATTATCTATTTGTTAGTTTCATTTTTGTTTAAATGAATCATTTCCAATCACGAAATAAACAATCATTTATGCCTTTTTTGGAGTTAATAACGAAAAAGGAGAAAAACAATGCAAAATTGACGATTGCACATGAAACATCACACAAATAAACAAAGTAGCCATTGGTTTATTTTACATTTTAACTGTTTTTTTTCTTAAAACGGAACGTTTTTAAATCATTAACTTAGTACTTCTTCATTATTTTTGTTACTGTTTATTTGATAGAATTAGTCAAAGACTATTCTGAACATAGTTTTGACATGTCATACCTTTGTTTACCTTTGTTTAAAATGAATTACTTTCAGTTTCGGTTTTGCCGTAATGATGACGATGATGATGATGATGATAATAATAATAATGTAACTGATATTTGAACACAGAGTAAGTAAGTAACCAAATCACCAATTCAAAAAACATTTATGGCTACTTGTTATACTGTCAACTAGGTAAAAAACTTATTGTAGACAACTTAAAAAGTTAAATTTAAGAAAACAGTGAAAATGTATATCAAATTTTGACAGCGATTTCAAATTGATTGAAGAAATAAAAGGAAAAACAGTGCAATTCAGTGTCTTTTTTAATATAAACACACTTTCATCCTAACTAATTTAATGCTTTAAGAAAACAAAATTAATTGGTTGTTCCGAAAGGGAAAAATAATTTCGAGGTCAACTTTTCTCTTGATAACAATTGAAACATTCAATAAGTCGCTTCATTTTAATATGATTCTCTTCTAATGAGTCTAATCTTCATAAAAAAAAACAATTTCTCAGTTTTGAGATGGTCGATAAAATTTGTAGCTCAGGTAGATGATTGTGGTGATGTTTCGTTCTCAGAGCTGGACGTTTTAGTTTCTGGAGCTTTCATTGTTCTACTGAACAACATTAACTCAGGTCGATCAGCAATCAACAAGACCTACTTTGCAACCATTGAAAAATCATAGGTTGGAAGAAAACTGGGGGCGGCCAGACCAAAACATGGCATAAATCCATGAAATCATTGACTAGTGGACTGAACCATGTCGGTAATTGTCGACTACCTGGTTGGGGTCCGCGAGATGATAATAATCGATGGCTAGAGCTTTTGAATAACATGGCTCAAATCGTTCGCAATGACGCCGGTGCATTTATTCTTTGTGTTCTCTCAAATCCTAATCTTCTGGATTCTTCAACACCTCTAGTTTTTACTTTCTAAACTTATCTCATTGAATCATACTTCGTGAATAATATCTTCTAATTTTAACCTCTCCGATTACTTCTAATACCTTTACAACATCTTCTACTATTGGATTTGAATTGACAAATATATGTCTGTGCTGATGTGGTATGGCGACATGAACTGATGTATTCTTTCAGGTTATAACTGGTTATAGCAGGATGTAACAAATCAGTGATATTGATGTTACTTTTCCTAGTTAACCTCGTCTACAACCCATGTCTGTAACCTTGCATTGGTTTTTACTTCCTACCGAGAAATCCTATTACAAGCTGGTCTGGACAACTATACTAAAAAAAAACTCATTCATTACTTCTTGAGCTTAAGAGTTAAAAATAAAAAGAATATATAAAATCAAAAAATTATATCACTGATCCTCTTTATTATATTTTGTAAATCAACTTTATTACTAACAACTTGGTTCTTCTGAATTTCCTCGATTCTTTCGACATCTCATTAGTTATCTCACTACTGAATTGTCTTCATTAACCTACATAAGCGGGGTTGTAAAGTGTTCTGATATTAAAAATGTTTGGGTAAACATACATTTGTTTCATCCATAAACGTATGTGCAAGGCCATTGTTCGGCTTTGATCTTGCCTGTAAATTGGCATGTCTCTGGTAACATGTTTGTTATTCGAGAATAAATCATTAGTTTTATTATTATTATTAATGACACGGAACGGACTTTCAACAAAGCAGCAGTAAAACAGTTATATGTATAGTATGTATTGTAATATTCCACAGTGGTAATTCGTATCGAAATAGTCAGTGTAAGTAATATTTCGGGTGTGTTCTATTCTTGGCCGTAGATTTCGCCCTGTCGTCGATATCAGCTAATTAATCCTGGGAGAGTCGGGCAAACCAAATTGTGGTTGGGTGCGTAAGATTCAACATTAGTATACAAAATATATTTGTGTTTATAATACCAGTTACCTCAGAATGTAATTGAGAAACATATACGTTGGATGACCCTAATGGTTCACAGAAAGAAGGATCATTCTAGCTTCTTATCGTCGTCTATAACATTCCATCTAATCGTTATACAAAGTGATTTTGTAGATTAGGCTGTTTGTTACTTCAAAATATTTATTCATCTTAGAAATATCTGTGAGTGACTGACAATCGCATACACAAACAGTCCGAAGATGAATGAAAATTGAACTACACATGTATATATTTTCAAATGATAGGATTTCAATTTTGTGGAAGAAAATATGTATTTGGAGTAAGTATTGAATACCTTTACTTCATGATCCTTAGGAATCACAAAAATTTCGAAACACGTAAAACATCTCAAAATTTCCTTCGACATTGATATTTGTTTTCATTTTACGATCAAATCGAAACGCTTGTGGTCGAAAATGTTAGTTTGTTGTCAGTCGTTAATGAAAAATCGATTGACATTATCATGTGGAACAAAATCGACAATATGCATTCCAATATGAAGACATATACATTCAGTTTGTGAACGTGCAGCTTAGCACACTTCAGACCCATATCTGATGGCTTTTGCTTGTTCCGAGTTTCAACAGACTTTTAACTTTGCGGCATTAGTTGAAGATGTTTTATTCTTCCTCAAAGAGAACGTCTGCTTTATTAGAGGTCGTCGAAACGTGGGGTAAACCTGCTGACCACAATTACCTCCCAGCATTATTCGTAACACAGGGCGGAAATCGTATTGTTCAATGTGTGTTATGTGCATGCTGCCAAACGCATGCGTTAAGCCTCCTTGCTTTGCCTTCGAAATCGAGATTTTAACGGAAGTGACCAACAAATCATTTTTCAATCTGAAGAGAAACGTCCTGTTCAAACTCTTTGCGGGAGCGTTGCAGTAGTGTTAGTTTATCAGCGAACGACGTTCTATTATTGAATAAATATGTTAGTAGCCAACCTGCTGTTTCATAGTGACAGAGGATATGACATCAACTTGACTCACTTGCTTCCAGAAACCATCAACTCTTTTAGTTCACGCTTACAATCCGAGGACAGTAGGCAATTCAAAAATATCAAATTTTATTCTAGCAGATTACTGATACTCAAATCTTCTAAACATTTCGGCTTTACTGTTAAATCTCAAGGTGATGCAGAGAAAGAACTAATGCTTTTCCATTTGAACATGTTTTGTGACACTTCGAAGCAGCAAATATGTCATGAAACCAGTCTGAAAATTTATTTGTAAAGACAGACAACTTCTAAAACAAAGTTTTTACGTTCGCACTTGTGATTGACAATGTGAATTCCAATAAATAGTAGATGTCTCCATAGCAGTAGGACGTCTAATGAGTTGTAAACGCTCCTGGTATCGGAGGTTATTGATTCAGCCGACGAATTTATTGATATTCAACATATCACTTTCCTATGTTTATACTCATTATCTACAAACTTCGTGCCAATCATTAAACCTTGTACCATGGAAATGCATACTAAAACGGTGAAAGCATTTTTGTGACATCCATTTAAATTTACTGATGACAAGCTTTTGTCATTCTGCCGAAATTCAGGTTTATAGGCTCCAACCTCCGACTTAACTATGCATAAGAACAAAGGATTTATTTACATGATGATAATCATCTAATGTCTTTTTGAACTATTTTCCGTAGTTCACTAAATAAATAATCTCAATGTAAATTCTCAAATAGAAATGTCTTTGGAGTAACTAGTGTGTCAAAGCTCAGTGAAAGACCAATAGTACAAAAATTCCTGCAGCACTTTTCATATAAAAAGGTTATAATCTTTGCATCTTATTCATAAATCATGATTGCTGAACGCAATCATCAGTTATCAGCTGTAGATCAACAATATATGTCATCAACGCGGATGGTCACTGTATGTATAAAAAGGTCCAATGCTATTGGTTTATAAATGTTTGTTATCTTGAACGTTTTCCAAGTTCAATAAACCGTCCAGCATTGAATGAACTAATCGCCAGACCGTTCGTCTACGTATCAGGCATGTTTCATTTGATCCTACAAATCTCTGCTCTGAGGCTTATCTAACATTTCAGCATATCTCACAAAAAGTGCTCTAGAATAATAATATAATTATGACTTTCATCAAACTGGAAGATTTCTTGATAATGTTATGTTGTGTTTACCAAGTGAATGAAACTATCGATATGTACCTCACCACAAAACACGAGGATGAAATTGGGCGAACAGCAACGCGAGCTGTTATTTCCACCTTGCAACCATCATCGAAAGCATTCACTCGAATAGCTTCCAAATCGTCCTCCGCTTCAAGGTTCCACAATAATTTTGTATAACAAATACAGTACATAATTATTTCGGAATTTCCGTTTATTTTCCTGTACATCAAGCAACCATTCTACAAGAACTACATGCCTCAGTAGAGTCAATGTGGACAGAAACAGTTACTATCAGAACCAGGATGTAAACTTAGTAATCAGGCATTTTACGCATCCAGACGAACATTATATTTTCAAACGGAAGATGAAGCTGCAGTTCCTCTGATTGAAACTGATGTACATTAGGCGTCAGAATCGCGAAATTCCAGTTGCCTTTCAGCGGCTCATTCCAATACTAGAGTTGAAGTACCTGA